GCCCGGCCTGATGCCCCAGCTCCGCCGTTCCTGCGGGTCCAGGAGTCGATCCCGCGCCCCGCTCCCCAACCCCCGCAGCCCACCCAGGTCCGGGGGGAAACGGAGCGCCGAGAACGTCACCGCTCTTCCGCGCCCCTCGGGTCTGGGGCTGAGACCCGGTCTCGCCCGGAACCCCTGACGCGCGCCCCCAGCTGCAGCCCTGGCGACGGCCGCGCGGCAGGAGCTAGAAGGCGTCTAAACTCGAGCGCCATAGAGGCGAGCGGTCCTCCAGGCCTCCCAGAGCGGCGCAGCGGCCGTTTCCGGGGGCGGGGCCGGAACTGGAGCCTGAGCGCCCGGCGCCCTGCGCTGTTCCGGAGAGTCAGGGTGAGGCGGCCCAGGGTGAGTTGGCCCCGGCTGCGGGGCGGGGACTGGGAGGGATGTGCGGTGTCCTCGGAGCCTGGCCTGGCAGAGGCTGTGGCCCCCGCGGGGACTGAGCGGAGCTCGGCAGGGAGCGGACCTGCAGCCGGCACTGCCGCCTCTGCTCGCCTTGGGTCCTGAACCTTTCTTAGGGCGAAGGGTCCTGCGCCCCGGTCCATGCCGGCTGTGGTCTGGGGCGTGCGGCGGGGTCCCCCAGACCCGCTTCGCCGACCCGGACTGTTGCTCAGAGGCGAGGCTGCAAGCGGGAGGCCTGGCGAGGTGGGGTTGCTTCGGAGCACCAGGCTCTGCCACGAGGTCTCCCGCCGGCGGGCTCTTCCCGGCGACGCGGTTCCCCGCAGCCATCATTCACCCTACGCAGTTTTGCCCTCTTCACGGGTTGGGGCGTGAATTGTAATAGAGGTGAGACGTTAGTGTAACAGGCAATAACGCAGCAAAATAACTTTTGGTTTTGACAAGGGCCATGCACAGCATAAACCAAGGAGATAAAATTGTGAGAGGGTAGCTTTGGCGGTCAGGGCGGCTCTGTGAAGAGTTAACAAACTGAAATCTGCGACATAGTGAGCAGGGTGCCCCGGGTCCCTGAGGAAGAGCGTTTATTGTCCGTATGGAAGGAGGCGACCCTCCTAGTCTTCCAGACCCCAGTTAAATATTACTTCACCCAGTAACATTTCTTGTGGTCCTCCATCTAAATGAGCACCCTCCTCCCCTTGACATTTTCTCTCTCAGCACTTGAAGCAACAGCTTGATCTGTTGTCATATCACTGTGCGATTACCAGTGCTGTTTAATCTGTCTAAAGATTTATTTCCTAATTCCAAAGATAGAACTAAAAGCAGGTTTTTTTTTTTACCCTCTAACCAGGACATGCACTCCCCAGACGTGAACAAAGAAAAAACAACAATGGTAACTTACCCCCTCCTGGTCCAACCCTAGTCCCAGGTTGCAGTTCTTACCACAGTGGAGGGCGGTATGTGTTGAGGAGTTCAGAGGGTCAAGTCTTCTGGCAGCCTCGTGCCCTGAGATACTCTGGTTGCCTTGGTGGGGTGAGGACAACATATGTGGCAATTGCACTTGCCCAGGTAGGTCCTGCCACAGACTGCCGTGGACAGACATCGAGTGGGGTCTCTGTTTTTCCATGCGTTTGCAGTCCGAGCTCTTCGTTCATGGGTGACTTACAAGTCTGTTTGACCTTCCCCCATCACCCTTCATACCCTAACATGTCAAAAGGACTCTACTGCCAAATATCACTTCACAGCATTGTGACTAAGCAGCCGTCTTGCTTCTAAACGCACACTTTATTATTACTTATTTTGGGAGAGAGCCTCACTCTGTCACCCAGGCTGGAGTGTAGTGGCACAATCTTGGATCAATGCAACCTCTGTCTCCTGGGTTCAAGCAGTTCTCCCGCCTCAGCCTCTCAAGTAGCTGGGATTACAGGCATGTACCAGCACACCCAGCTAATTTTTGTATACTTAGTAGAGGAGTTTCCCCCATGTTGGCCAGGCTGGTCTCAAACTCCTGACTTCAGATGATCTACCCTTCTCATTCTAAAGTGCTGAATTACAGGCATTAGCCACCATGCCCGGCCTCTAAACACACACTTTTTGTCAACTGATGCCTAATGGGAAACGTCTCTTTACAAACTGGCAGCTACTTAGAGGGCCCCAGCTCTACAGAAAAGGGTACCCCTAGAGACCTTCACTCAAACACAAGAGCTCAAGTATCTGTTGAAGGGAAAGAGTGAGGAGACCAGCGCCTCATGCCTACTCTGTATACGTCTGGTTAGAGCAAAATTACTGTTTTGTTTTGTTTGAGACAGGGTCTTGCTCTGTCGCCCAGACTGGAGTGTGGTGGCATGATCTCAGTTCACTGCAACCTCTGCCTCCTGGGCTTAAGGGATGCTCCTAGGATGGCTGAGGTCATACCATTGCACTCTGGTCTGGGCAACAAGAGGGAGATTCAGTCTCAAAAAACAAAACAAAAAAACTTAAATTAGAAAAACAGAGGCCGGATGCGGTAGCTCATACCTGTAATCCCAGAACTTTGGGAGACCGAGGCAGGAGGATCAGTTGAGTCCAGGAATTCAAGACCAGCCTGGGCAACATAGTGAGACCTCATCTCTAATAAAAATTTTTAAAAGTTAGCTGGGCCATTCCAAAACATCTGTGAGCCTGCGGAGTAGCCATGATGAGCAAAGCTCACTCTCCCAAGTTGAAAAAAAATTATGGACAAGAAGTTATCATTGAAATTAAATGGTGGCAGATATGTCCAAGGAATATTGCGGGGATTTGATCCCTTTATGAATCTTGTGGTAGATGAATGTGTGGAGATGGCGACTAGTGGGCAACAGAACGATACTGGAATGGTGGTAATACGAGGAAATAGTATCATCGTGTTAAGCCTTGGAACCAGTATATAATGGCTGTTCAGAGAAACCCATGTACTCTCTCCATAGGGCCTGTTTTACTATGATGTGAAAATTAGGTCATGTATATTTCATATTAGACTGATGTTTGTTTGTTTTTTTTAAGACAGGGTTTCAGCATGTTAGTCAGGCTGGTCTTCAACTCCCAACTTCAGGTGATCCGCCCGCCTTGGCCTCCAAAGTGCTTGGATTACAGGCGTGAGCCACCACGCCTGGCCTAGACTTTTTGTTAAATAAACTTTTGTAATAGTAAAAAAAAAAAAAAAAAAAAAAAATCAGCTGGGTGTGGTGGCATGCACCTGTAGTTCTAGCTACTCAGGAGGCTGAGGTAGGGGAATTGCTTGAGCCCAGGAAGTTGAGGCTGCAGTGAGCCGAGATCACACCACTGCACTCCAGCGAGACCCCGTCTCAAAAAAAGAAAAGAAAAATAGGAGAAAAACAGGAACCACTGGTAATTCTATGAGCCAGAGAGAACTAGGATTTTATGCCACCAGGTTTATTTTTCTGGTTAGTCTGCTTGTTTCATGTAGCAAAATGCAAGAATGTTTTCCGATGTTCCCACAACATGGTTTTATTGGTTGCAGAGTCACCCATTGTCAGGGATCCCTTTGTTCATTTCATAAATCCTTTCTGAGCACTTGCTGTGTGCCACAGCCTTCCTCAGGCCCCAGAGGTACAGACTAGAGGTCATGTCTAATTGGAGAAGGCAGATAAGGAGCAAGGAATTTAACTCTTAGGTCAGATGGCATAGTGCTATGGTGAAAAATAAAACCAGGAGTGAGGATAAGGAATTACCAGGCAGTAGGGGAGGTGGCAGTTTTAAAAAGGGTGGTCACAGAAGGCCTCTTTGGAAGGTGACAGCCAGCAAACAAAGGAGTGGGTGGGCAGGTCTTGGATGCAGCTTCTCCTTGAGACGTAAAGGAGGTGGCTGATGTAGTTGCCGCAGCATCTCACCCTCTCCTGCACCCTTCTGGATCTGGAGGGGCCTTTTGGGGGCAGTAGGGCCTTAGGCCTGGACTCCTTCCACTTACAGCTGTATGTTCCCTCAGCATGCACTGTCTTTAGCACCTGCTCCTCCACAAAGGGTACCCTGGAATGGTGATGACACTTCCGATGCCTGGACTCCAGGTGAGCACCCCCTCTGAGCCTGTCTGCTGCCCCAGGAGACTGCTTCGCCCCAGCCCCAGCTTTTCAGCTCTGAGAACCTTCCAGGGAGCCTCACACCCACCCACATCACAAGATGGAGTCTGCAAGCCAAGGACGGCCTCCTTCCTCTATGGCCAGGCCTCACACATGGCTCTCCTAAATCCTTCCTGGCTTTAGGCAGAAGTGGGCTTCCTGGGGCCCCTGAGCTTCTGTGCCCAGCCGCTGAGGGCAGGATCTCTGTCCTTTCCCAGTGCCAGTCTCCTTCCTGGTGTGAATAGTCAGCCCATCCCCCTCTCCTGATGCTAACTTGCTGCTGGTGTTGGAAATTGAGACCCAGAGGGTGGGGATGCCCCCACAGTGCAGGCGCTCCTTCCCCAAATCCCTGATAGCCTGTGGAGAGGGGTGAGGCCAAGGTTGGGACCTCTTTCCTGGTAACTCTTTCTCTCCCTCCCCCAAATTCAGTTTTCCCCTCTTCCTCTCTGGGGTTCTGCTGAGGACGAGGCTACTCACTCAGGGGGTGTTGGGCTGCCCTGTCTCTGCTGGGCCCTGTGGATGCAGCAATGCCCAGCAAGGAGAGAGGCCTCTAGCAGATCACCCAAATGTTCCTCATCTGCTGGGTTCTCGCTGAGCCTTTGACTGTCTGGATAGCAGAGTATGTGGTTGCAGGAGGCTGTTGTGTTCGAGGATGTGGCTGTGTACTTCACGAGGATAGAGTGGAGTTGCCTGGCCCCCGACCAGCAGGTACTCTACAGGGACGTGATGCTGGAGAACTATAGGAACTTAGCCTCGCTAGGTGAGGGCTTCTGCCTTTGGTCCTGGGGCCGGGAGGTGCTTCTATGTTCGGTTCAAAGGGAAGTTGGTTCCATTTCAGATTCGCAGTCTGTCACATTTTTGAGGGGAAGCTGGAGGCTCCCCAAGGAGCCCCTCTCTGCTTCCTGCTGGGCACCTGCTGCCCAGCCTTAATTCTCTCCTGGGGCAGGCCCCCCCACCTCCCGTTGGCCACCTAGCTGCCCCCTTTTGGGATAGTGGATGTTCTTGCACCCACTCCAAGCCCTTGTGCTCCCGATGGCCTCCAACTGGCGTCCTCCCTCCTGTATCCACCCCAAGTCCTGTGTGCTCCCAGTGGCCTCCAACCGGGCACCCAGGCATCCTTCCTCCCTTCTGCACTGACACATGCTGCTTTTCCTTTCTGAGCTTAGGCTTTCTTGTTGCCAAACCAGCACTGATCTCCCTCTTGGAGCAAGGAGAGGAGCCAGGGGCCTTGATTCTGCAGGTGGCTGAACAGAGAGGGGCCAAAACCAGCCTGTGCACAGGTGAGTGCAAGGCCCTGGAAGGCCTGGGCTGCTGCCACACTGCAGGGCATGTTGTGTGGCTGCCAGTGCGTCCTGGCCTCTGTGCAGCTCTGTGCAGGTGTCCTCTTTCACAGTGGGAGCTGTGTGTGTTCAGCTTCTCACAGCAGGGCCAGACTTACTACTAAATGCCTTGCTTGTACTTCTGAGGTCAAAAGTAGCTTAAGCATGAAGACCCAAGTGCATGTTTTCCACCTTGGTGACCCCAAGGTGTCAGGGGCCTGGTCTGTGCACACAGTGGGCACTACCCTTGGGTTGCTTTTATTTTCTCAGTTCCTCATGACCCATGTGCCAGGGACTGAGCTCAGGGCAGTGGAGGCTGCAGAAAGAACCTTGAGCTGGGGAGGAGTCCCTCAGTCCTAGAGGTCTGTGCAGGCACCTGCCCTAGGTACCTGCCCAGACATGTTTGCTGAGTGAATGAACCCTGGGTGAACTCTGAAGGAGAGACAAGTAAAGAACGTGGCTGTGGGATGAGGTGCAATCTGCACCTCCTGCCTGGCCTGTCTTCGCTGCCAGACCTTGGGCCTCTCCTGTGGGCTCCCCCTGAGCCAGCCTGCCACAGTGCTGCAGCCATTATTAGCCTCTGTACCCTTCTCACCTGAATTCTGATTTTATTTTTATTTAATTATTTTGAGATGGAGTTTTGCTCTTGTTGCCCAGGCTGGCGTGCAATGGCGCAGTTTCGGCTCACTGCAACCTCTGCCTCTCAGGTTCAAGTGATTCTCCTGCCTCAGCCTCCCAAGTAGTTGGGATTAATAGGCGCCCACCACCACGCCCGGCTAATTTTCATATTTTTAAGAGAGATGGGTTTTGACCATGTTGGCCAGGCTGGTCTCTTAACTCCTGACCTCAGGTGATCTGCCCGCCTCGGCCTCCCGAAGTGCTGGGATTGCAGGTGTGAGCCACTGTGCCCAGCCTAAACCCTGATTTTAAAACTTCTGGCAATAATTTCTCAAACCTCCCTACACCTCTAACAAAGACTGTCTTCACTTGATTGTGGTATCATTTCAGTGTACGTATTTATTGAATCATGGTGTACAACAAAAGTATATGCAAGTTTTGTTTTTTGCTTTTTTGTTTTGTTTTTTGAGACGGAGTCTCGCCCTGTCTCCCAGGCTGGAGTGCAGTGGTGCAATCTCGGCTCACTGCAACCTCCACCTCCTGGGTTCAGGTGATTCTCCTGCCTCAGCATCCTGAATGGCTACAGACACACACCATCACACCTGGCTAATTTTTGTAATTTTTTAGTAGAGATGGGGTTTCACAATATTGGTCAGGCTGGTCTTGAATTCCTGACTTCAGTTGATGGACCTGTCTCAGCCTTTCAAAGTGCTGGGATTACAGGTGTGAGCCACCAGGCATGGCCTAGGGTTTTTGTTTTGTAGTCTCACTGCTTTGCCCAGGCTGGAGTACAGTGGCTGGATCTCAGCTCACTGCAGCCTCAGGCTCCCAGGTTCAAGCAATTCTGCTGCCTCAGCTTCCTGTATACAAGTTTCATTTGTCGTTTATACCTCAGTAAACCTGGGTGTCGGGGGAAGACTTGGCAATAAAAAGGTTCTGTCTTCAAACAGTAAGTTCATTTGTGAGTATAGAGGCTGGATCGTCCTTCCGTTTTCTGTTCCTTCTCTCAGATTCCAGGATGGAGGCCGGGATCATGGAGTCTCCTCTGCAGAGAAAGCTCTCCAGGCAGGCAGGACTCTCAGGCCCGGTGTGGGGGTGCCTCCCTGAGGAGGACCCCGCACCACGCCACCCGTATAGTGGTCCTGAGGACGGGTCAGAGAAGCAAACCCCCAGCCCCGGGGCTCCGGAGTGCAGCGCCTCCCCAGGGGTTCTGCAAGAAGACCTGGGCCGGTGCATAGGGAGCGCAGCTCCTCGCTACAGGTGCGCATGCGGCAAAGCGTTCAGATACAACTCCCTGCTGCTCAGGCACCAGATCATCCACACTGGCTCCAAGCCCTTCCAGTGCACGGAGTGTGGGAAGGCCTTCAAGCAGAGCTCCATCCTGCTGCGGCACCAACTGATCCACACCGAGGAGAAGCCGTTCCAGTGCAGCGAGTGCGGCAAGGCCTTCCGGCAGAGCACGCAGCTGGCTGCCCACCACCGCGTCCACACCCACGAGCGGCCTTACGCGTGCAGCGAGTGCAGCAAGACCTTCAGCCGCAGCTCCCGGCTGCTGCAGCACCAGAAATTCCACACCGGGGAGAAGGCCTACGAGTGCGGCGAGTGTGGCAAGGCCTTCTGCCGCAGGTTCACCCTCAATGAGCATGGCCGCATCCACAGCGGGGAGCGGCCCTACCGGTGCCTGCAGTGCGGGCAGCGTTTCATCCGGGGGTCCTCGCTCCTGAAGCACCACCGGCTGCACGCCGAGGAGGGCCCCCAGGATGGCGGCGCGGGGCAGGGCGCCCTGCTCGGAGTGGCACAGAGGCCACAGGCAGGGGACCGGCCCCACGAGTGCCCGGTGTGCGGAAAGCCGTTCCGACACCACTCCCTGCTGCTGCTGCACCTGCGCCTGCACACGGGCGAGAAGCCGTTCGCGTGCGCAGAGTGCGGCAAGGCCTTCGGTCGCAAGTCCAACCTCACTCTGCACCAGAAAATCCACACCAAGGAGAAGCCCTTCGCGTGCACCGAGTGCGGCAAGGCCTTCCGCAGGAGCTACACGCTGAACGAGCACTACCGGCTCCACAGCGGCGAGAGGCCGTACCGGTGCCGCTCCTGCGGGAGGGCTTGCAGCCGCCTGTCCACCCTCATCCAGCACCAGAAGGTGCACGGCAGCGAGCACCGGGAGGACATGGAGGGCAGGCGGGCGCCGCGCTGGGCTTCCTGATGACGGGGGCGACAGTCCGAGGATTCACACGGGAAGCCTGACACAAGCAGGCGCGGCCCCAACGCAGAAGTTCGAATCTCACATCCTGAAGGTGCAGCAGTCTTGAGAAGAGGCCAGCTCTTACCCGGAGCACTCGGCATCTTGCTCCAGCTGGGCAGTGGGGAGGGAAAGGGCACCTAGTGGCCCATGGTGTGGCCTCAGGAATCAGCATCAGCCACCATTTCCTGGGACCTTTGGGAAATGTCCCGGAGCTGGCAGAAGTGAGGGAGGGAGGGGCAGCTATGCTCAATCCCCAGAGAGCAGAGCAAAGGGGACGCCATAGACACACATGCAGCCTGGCACAGCCAGGTCTCAGCACCAGGACCTGCGTGGTGGTGAACTTCAGGTGGTGTAAAGCTGATTCACAGGATAGAAGATGCCTTAGTTGGCTGCCATGTGTCCTGCCTGTAATCTCATCACTTTGGGAGGCTAAGGCAGGAGGTTTGCTTGAGACCAGCCTGAGCAACAGGGTGAAACTTCTCTACAAAAAATTTAAAAATTAGCCAGGCATGGTGGCATGTGCTTCTAGGTTGTAGTCCCAGGTACTTGGGAGGCTGAGGTGGGAGGATGGGTTGATCCTGGGAGGTCAAGGCTGCAGTGGGTGACAGAGTGATACCCTGTTTTTTTTAAAAAAAAGAAAACACGAAAAGAAAAGAAAAACCTCAATGGCTGGTGGAGCACTTATTTATTTATTTATTTTTAATTTATTTGAGACGATCTCTCAGCCAGCCAGCCTGGAGTGCAGTGGCGCAATCATGGCTTACTGCAGCCCTGCACTCCCAGGCTCAAGAGTTTCTCCCACCTCAGCCTCCTGCATAGCTAGGACTAAGGTACACACCACTGCATCTGGCAGCTGAAGCATTGTTTCTGAGTGTGTGAGGATATTTTGTTGGACTCAGTGAAGATCTGCCCTCAGTGTAGCCGAGCACATCCAGTTGGTTGGGGGCCCAGATGGAACACAAAGAGAGAAGAGCAAATTCTCTCTTATCTGGAGGGAGACACCCATCTTCCCCTGTCCTTGGACATCAGGACCCCAGGTTCTTCAGCCTTTGGACTCAAGACTTGCCACAGAGGCCTCCCAGGGCTCTCTAGCAGTCAGCCTCAGAATGAGAGTTAAACCACTGGCTTCCTTGGTTCTCCCACCTTCTTACCTGGCCTGAGCCACACTAATGGCTTCTTTGGGTCTCCAGCTTGCAGACAGCCTGTGGGAGAATTTCTCAGCCTCCATAAGTGTGTGGGCCAATTCCCCTAATAAATCCACTCTTCTGGCTGTGCTCGGTGGCTCAAGCCTGTAATCCCAGCATTTGAGGAGGCAGAGGTGGGAGGATCACCTGAGGTCTGGAGTTCGAGACCAGCCTGGGTGAAACCCTGTCTCTACTAAAAATACAAAAATTATCTGGGCATGGTGGTGGCTGCCTGTAATTCCAGCTACTTGGGAGGCCGAGGCAGGAGAATCACTTGAACCCGGGAAGTGGAGGTTGCAGAGATTGCACCACTGCACTCCAACCTCGGTGACAGAGCAAGACACTGTCTCCAAAAAAATAAAAGAAATCCTCTCTTCTAAACTCCATTATTGGTTCTGTCTCCCTAGAGAACCATACTACACTCTGCCCTGCTGAAGCCAGGAAGAAAGCCCTGCCAGCTCAGAATGTGGGCTAAGAGAGAAGGGGTGTGGCTAGAGGGAGAACTGGTTGAGGTGCTGCACCGTCTTGGCCACACTGGGAGCACCTTATCACCCCTAACAGATGAAGAGAAGGTGAGGGAGGATTGAGTTGCTGGCCCACTGGTGTGTCAGACTCCATGGTGGCGCTGGGAACATGCAGGCCGGTCTCCTCCAAGGCTTGGTGCTCACTCGGCTGTGCACCCACCGCCCATTCCTGGGGCTGCAGAAGGAGCCAGGAGAAGCCTGGCCCTGGCAGGGCACCAAGACGGGGAGGGCTGGATCCACCTCTCCAGAGAACAAGAACCCTGGGCAGTGGCAGGGACATGATGGGGGAGGCTGAAGGCTTGTCCCTCAGCATCCCCAACATGGAGCTTGTAAGTCTCCACCATGGGTAGAAAAGCATGAAGTCAGGGCCAGCCTGGGAAACCCAGAGCCTCCATCTCCAGGACCTCTGTGCCAGGCCTCCTTCTTGTGTGCCCAGCAGCCACCACTGCGGTTCCTGAAACCCCAGTCCCATAGTTGCTCTGGCACTCATGGGTCTCTGTATGGCATGGTGCCCAGGTGGGGCCGGCTATCGGCCCCAGCCCTCTGTGAGGTGGGTGCTGTGGCTCTTGGAGGCTCCTGGCTCCTAGTTTTTTGTCTTCCCAACCTTCTGAGCTCCCAGGCCCACTCCAAGTTGTGGTCTGGCCTATGGCAGTGGGGCTGTGGCCACCCTGTTCACACCCACCCGCCTCCGCTGGGGTCCCTTGGGAGCATTCTCTCCAATTTCTGGCTGGGTGAGGGTCTAGGACACCTCCCCTCATTCCACCAGGGAGATCAGCTCAGGTGGGGGGTTAGGAATCCTGCTTGAGGAATACCGTCCAGAGGCCTGGAGTGAGCCTGGGGTGGCACAGCAGGCAGAGCCTGAACCAGGGGATCCTCTCACACCCAGCTAGCCAGGCGGGCTGCCCACAGGACACTTGAAGGATGGGAAGAAGCTGCCAAGATCTCATCCCTGGAGATGCGCAATTGTGGCACACGCCTCCAGCCTCTCTTGATTTGGCTGCTAGAGAAAAGCAAATTCTGTTTGTGGTTGTCATCATGCAGTCCTAAACAGAAGATCACTACAGGGAGAAGTGATGTCCTCTGTACTCTGATGGGTGTGGTATGGGTGAGGACTGTCCAGAGGGCCCAGGGCACCTTCAGGGAACACCCACAGCACCCTCCACCTGATGCTTACCTCACCCTTTCCCACAGGAACCCAGTGCCCTCCTGGCAGTGTCCTTTTCTCCTCAGCTCACCCATCAGGCACTGTTTCTCCCTAGGTGTCCTTTCCACTGCACAGAGGCTTGGACCTGGCAGTAAGTGAAGTAAAACCTGATCTCACTAAGACATTTTGAAACCATGCACCAGGGAGTGTGTGCATAGATTGAAGAAACTTTTGTTTGCGGGGCTCCATCCCTGCTCTCCAGGGTTGCCCAAGCATTTGGGGCCTTGATCCTGGAGAGGATGCTCCCTCCAGGGCTAGCTAATTCCCAGAGACAGCAAACAAATACTCCCCTTCCAGTGCACTTCTTCTTTTTTTGAGACAGAATCTCACTCTGTCGCCCAGGATGGAGTGCAATGGTGCAATCTGGGCTCATTGCAGCCTCTGCCTCCTGGGTTCAGGGAATTCTCCCATCACAGCTTCCCAAGTAGCTGGGACTACATGAGTACACCACCACACCCGCCTAATTTTTTTGTATTTTTAGTAGAGACGACGTTCTACCATGTTGGCCAGGCTGGTCTTGAACTCCTGACCTCAGGTGGTCCTCCCGCCTCAGCCTCCCAAAGTGCTGGGATTACAGGCGTGAGCCACCACGTCCAGCCCTAGTGCGTCTTTGAGACACAAACCAGCCAATCCAGAGTCCACAACTATCTATCTTCCTTAGCACAGTGTCACTCACTAAGCCAGTATTTCCCCTGCCCTGTTACCCGGGGCCAGGTACTGGACAAGAAGGGACCAGCCCTGTAGCCCAGAGCCTGCCACAATTGTTCAAACAGTCCAATTCTGAGCTCACTCCACACACCTACCCTGCCTTCCTTCTTCCAGAGAAAATAAAGACTCTGCCTGAACTTGGCCCTCTCCCCCTTCTGCCTCCTGTCCATCCCTGGTCCTTCTCACGTGGCCCTGTGTGCCCTGCCCCATTTCCAGGGCCCCATGACCATAATGTCTTCTGTTTTGACAATCATTTTCATGTCTGCATGTCTTACTACACCTGACTAAAACAAATCCAAGGCATATTTGAACCCACTTTGAGATGTGGGTGTGTACAGATGGCAAGGGACCTGCAGACAGAGCCTGTTGGAAGCACCGTTGCTCTGAGCCGTCCACTTGGATTCGGACAGTGCTGTTGGAAATGCAGCATCTCCTTGAAAGTGGCTTTGTGGTTGAATTTTTTTTCCTGGAAACCTTTACAGCTTGGAATTGTTCTATCTGGCCAAATATGAGGAGACTAGAGTCCCAAAAATGGCAGCAAGGGAGTTGCCTCAAAGGACTTCTCAAAACAGTTGATGGAATTGGTTGGGATTCCGAAGAAAGAAACACTAAACGCCAGGTGTGATCAGTCTAGAGCATTTCTTCTGGAAATTTACATACGGAGCTTCAGCTTTCTTGGGATCCACGGTGAGGCAAAGGCTGCTCTATGCTCTACTCAGGTACATTTGCAGTGAGGGAGTCTGGCTATGGAGCTTAGATGAGAGTTCAAGGGATTGGGCTCAGGACAGGGACATTTCTAAGTGTTTAGCAATAGGGTTGATCATGTTTTTAAGCAACCTAAACAGCTTTATCAGGGAATGTGCTCGGCCCCAGACTGGGTTCAAGGCTGCAGGGAACACGCAGTGGCCAGGTCGCAGAGCAGTCAAAGGACTCTGTGTTTCTTAATTAGTAGAGAAAGAAAGTGGGGGAGCTGGAAGACCCTGTGAATCCCAATCTCAAGACAGATGAACGATTCAGGCTGGCCCAGAGCAGAAGCACCCTGACCATGTGAGGGCCTGAGTGCGCCTGGCTGTGGAGGGTCTGCTTGCTCTAGACTCAGCCAGGCAGTGGATGCAGTAGATGGAGGCAGCCCCCTCGCCCCAGACAGGCCATCAGGGCCTCAGAGCTCTGGCACTTGTACCCTGGACACCAGGGAGGTGCCTACCAGGTGGATGCTCTGGGCCAGGTTCTCTCCCCGTCCTGCTGTGCGTTATCCTGGTGTGTCCCCCTCACCTGCAGCAGGCCAGGCTGGGGTACGGGGTTGCCCGCCCCTACCAGCCCTGGGGGTCTGAAGGGCGGCTGGGGAAGCAGATCCCCTTTCCTTTCCTATCCTTTGCAACATGCTCCCTGAGCAGCTGGGATCCACTTAGGTGACCAGAGAGGATGTGGGGCTGAGGGATCCGAACTCAGGTGCTGGGGTGGGAGTGCTGGGATCATTGGCGAGGGGAGAGGCGAGCCCGGCTTGTTTTTCACCGGGGCCTTCCTGGGGGTTGGGGGGTTGCCTGATTGTTCCTTCTTGCACAGGTTTCCCAGCGCCGGTTCGGATCAACACGCCGGGAGAGCCCGGCTTATGTCCCTCCCGGACCCCCGCCCCGTTCTTCCCGAGGGAAGGGGCGCGCCAGGCGGACTCGGCACCCTCCGGCTGCGGGGCTTCGCCGGGAGCCGCGCGGGGAGGTCCAGGCAGCCGGGACGCAGGCAGCTTCCACACCGAGGTTTTGGGGCCGGGGCCGCCAAGGGAGGCGCGCAGGCTCTGCCGGAGCAGAATGAACCCGAGGGAGGCGAGGCAGAGGGCGGCGCGGGGCAGGGAGGAGCGAGGGTACGCCGGGCCCGGCC